TCATAGCCATTTTAATTGGGGTGAGATGATAGCTCATTATGGTTTTGATTTGCATTTCCATGTGAATTAGTGATGTTGTGTTCCTTTGATATATCCCCATCATTGAGACTTTTCTTTTGAGCACTTGCTTATTTCCTGGCATAATAAGATGTTCCAAGCTCATCTTGTATATTTTCTGCTCCGGTGCTAGAATCAGCCATTTCTCCAAAGAGCTTTTGGAAGATATTTGCTTTCTTGATTACAGTTAGGATTTTCTCATGAGGGAAGTTTGTTGATGGCCTGCAAACAAATAGTAAAATACTACGTGATGTCATGAAAATTAATTGCATCTTTCCTTCTAGATTTTGCATATAGAAGACGGTAATTGTAAAAACAGTGAAAGAAGAAATGTATCTGAGAATTCAGTCAATAGACTTTAGAGTGAATATGATTTTTGTGTGCTCAAAGGCATCTTTTCAGTTTGGCTTTGTAAGGTTTCATTCTTTTTTTTGGTAGGAAAATATAAATAAAAGGAAGGAGCAGGGAAAGTGGAGGGTCACCTGTGGGACCAGCTATACCCCCTTTGGCTGCCCTCAAGGCCTAAGCTGTCTATAATAGCATCAGTTTTCTCTTTCTTTTCCCTTTTTTTTTTTAGATGGTGTCTTTCTGTGTTGCCCAGGCTGGAGTGCAGTGGCATGATCTCGGCTCACTGCAACCTCCACCTCCTGGGTTCAAGTAAGTCTCCTGCCTTGGGCTCCTGAGTAGCTGGGATTACAGGTATACACCACGACGCCCAGGGAATTTTTGTATTTTTAGTAGAGACGGGGTTTCACCATGTTGGCCAGGCTGGTCTCGAACTCCTGACCTCAGGTAATCCACCTGCCTCAGCCTCCCAAAGTGCTGGGATTACAGGCGTGAGCCACCGCGCCCAGCCAGCCTCAGTTTTCTTTGTGCATCTTTTCCACAGCCCTCTCACTGCAGATGTTTTCAGTCTTTCCTTCTGCTTGGTATACTTTTCTCCACTCATAGTTTCTTAGTAACAGCTGCCTGCTATGACCATTCATCCTCCCATTTCTGCCTCATGTCTTGGTTCTCTGCATTTTTCCAGTTTCAGCCCTGTTGTTGACTGCTAGATTCCTACTGTGTTTCCCAGTTAAAATTCTCAAAAGAAGGAACCTGACTGGCTCAACACAAAGTTTCTTGCTAGACAATATCATGTGTCAAAAGTCAGCGTATCGACTGGTTGCCTGGGCTTAGTGTCAACGCAGTTCCATCACCTGCTGCCTGAGAGTGAGGTGGGATCAGTTGCAGGGCTCATTTGGTCCTGCCCCTTCAGCAGAGGCTTTAGCATTAGAAGAGGCTGTGGGTACCAAGGCTGGCCTTCTGCTTCATGGCTTGGTGGGGAGGAACACAGCAAGAGTAGTTAGAGACCCCTGAATAGGATCAGGAGTATCCAGTACTAATAAAGCCAAAATTTGTACAACACTCTAGCATTTGCTAAGCACTATAAAGTCATGATCTCATTTTGTGCATACCTGGGAAACACTTATTCTCCTATACTGTGATTGCTCTTTCCTTGGGTCTCTCTTACAAGCAGACCACAGGGACCCTGCAGGCAGGAACTATGTCCTGTTATTGTGATATCCTTAGCACCAACTCTACAGATAATATTCTAGAAATATTTATTAAATGTAAGAATTAAACAATAGCATGTCTTCAAGGTGGACAGCTGTTATTACTGTTTTACAACTGAGGAAACTGAGGTTCAGTTAAGTAATGCGAAGTAATTTGAATAAAAGACTGGGTTCCTTGTAGCCCAGTCCTTTTACAAAGTTGCATTCAGAGAGACGCGTTTGACTCTTTTTTCCCGTCATCCTGTACTTCCCTCCATTCTTCTTTCCCATGCCAGTCACTGCTGGGGCTTCGGGGCCCTCTGGGTGCTCTGAGCCCCTCTAGAATGACTGAGAGTCTTCGCTCACTCCTGTCAAAGGGCAGTGGGTAGCAGTCCCTTGGTAATATTTTAGCCGTCTTCACTGATTTTTTTGTGAGAAACCTCCAGAGAATAAAAGTCTTCCACCTCATTAAATTGGCTAATACCTGGTAGATTTATAATGGAAATAGAATCTTCATACCCTAGGCTGGAATAAGGGTTAGAGGCAGGTTTGAGGTGGATCAGGGACTCTGTGTTCAGTTCTGAATATTATGAGTTGGAGGCAAAAGGGAGGAACCGTGGAAGACATACTTCCAGGAGGAGGGGTCCAGGTTTGGATGCCAGACCAGAACCAGAGAGATGGATTGTATAATGCATGGATGTGGAGGTTTCAGAGAAGTAGCAACTAAAATTGGTGCCACAGATGAGATAACTGGTAAGTAACTTAAAATATTATTATTCAATGTCAAAACCATCATAGATAATTATGGATTAAAATGGAAAATTAGCATGTGTAATTTAGTCACACACAAAGACCTCAGAGAACTTTAGTTTTAGCGGTAGGCCATTTGGAACCCCAGACTCTTTGGAAAACATAATCACATGTTTCTCTGTTAGGCATGCATGCATGCGTGTGTGTGTGTGTGTATGTGTGTGTGTGTATGTGTGTAGACATATACTTGCTTCCCTTTGCTGTCATTTTCTTGTTTTGTGCCCACTAGACTGTGTCCTCACTCTTTCTCCATAGTGCCCACCAGGTTACCTTGTCCATGGAGGGCATCCGTATGTGGAAGGATGCTCATTGCAACATTACTAATAGTAGTGAAAAGTGGAAAACAATATAAAATATCTTTAAAAAGGGCATGGTATGGTAAAATAGGATGTATTCACTCTGTGTTAGTCCATTTTCAGATTGCTATAAGGAAATACCTGAGACTGGGTAATTTATAAAGAAAAGAGATTTAATTGACTCACAGTTCTGCATGCCTGGGGAAGCCTCAGGAGACTTACAATCATGGTGGAAGGCACCTCTTCACAGGACAGCAGGAGAGACAGTGAAAGCCAGCAGGGGAAATGCCAGACACTTATAAAACCATCAGATCTCGTGAGAACTCACTATCATGAGAAGAGCACGGGGGAAACCGCCCCCATGATTCATTTACTTCCCACTGGGTCCCTGCTACAACACATGGGGATTACAGGGATTACAATCCAAGATGAGATTTGGGTGCGGAAACAGCCAAACCATAGTACACTCGATGGAATGTCATGCTGCCATTCTATGATGGTTGTAAAAAATGTGTTGCAAACTCAAAAATGCATATGTATTTTCTCAAAAAACGTATCTCTCATACACCATTTCTTAAGAAGCTGCTGGACGGTATGTTTCCGGCAGAAAGAACAGACAATGGAAAAGGCCCTCAGGACTCCAGACATTGGAGTTATGAGTTACAACTTTAAAATAACAAAAGCTCCCTATGTTCAAAGAATAACAACTGATAAAGAGTAAACCAAGGAAGAAAGAGCTGGGGGCACTGGAATCTGGAGATTCAAAGCAGGGGAGAGGTGAAGGAAACCCATAGGCTGATGATGAAGGGAACTCCCAGGCTGGTGGCCAACAGCGGAGCTGCAAGGCAGCCTCTGTGAGTTGAGGGCCATCATTGCAAGATCCCTGCTATCTTAGTGCCGTCTGTGAGACCCGAGGAAGAATGTCTGGGGGAGGCTGGTCCTGATTCTTCTCTTGACTCAGTGCTATTAAAGTTGCTGCTCTCCCCTTGATGCTTGGGTTAGCTCTGAACTCCTCTTGAGGGCTGACAGAGGAGCGCTGTGAAGTTTGAAGAAAATACAGAGCAGCCTCCTCCCTCCGAAGCTCTTTCTGACAGGTGTCTAGTAGGTGGTTCAAATTATAGTTCTGTCTGATGCCCCAGTTGTGTTAATTTGTGGTTTCCATGACTCAGCCATGACCTTGCCTGCAGACATGCCTAGAAAGTGCTCTCATAGATTCTCAGGGAAGCAGAAGCCAGCCTGTGACGCCCATTTTGCCACCTTCTCTTCTGTTGGGAACCCTTGTAGAATAGCGTTGATATTTTCCTTCTCTTACACAGATTTGTGCTTCCTAGGCAATTTTTACAACACTATTTAAAGAAAAGCAAGGGAGTGACTAACACAGAAGGCAGGAAGGGTTATCTGTCGGGGATAAGGTATCTGACTGTGGTAGAGGCAATATGTGATGGGCAGTGTTGTTCAGACATAAAGGAAGGCCACATTTCCAACCCCCTTTAGAGTTAAGTCGAGGCCATGTGGCAGCTCTTACCGAAGAAGGCAGAGATGTGTCACTCCTTGAGAAAGGCAGTTAAAAGCAGATGTAAGTTCTCTGTGTCCTCTCTTATTTATTCTACTTAACTAAAAGCAAAAATTCCAAGATGGTGAAATGATGAGTCTTAAATTACTGTTAAGACTCTTAACAGTCTTAAATTTGTTCCAGAGCTTGTGTTTCAATGGGGCCAGAGCCAGGGTCTTAAATTACTTTTGGAGGTGGCAAGGACAGCTCCTGAGCCTGCATGGACTGTGATGTGAGAGGGACATCAGTGTATGCGTACGTGTGTTTTACATCAATGGCATTTTGAGATCTGTCTATAACTGCTGTGATACACTAATGTAGGTACATGAGGGGCCGCTAATGTGGTCATAATAGTCTATTTCTTAAACGGGATAGTGGGTACATGGCTGTTAATTTTATTATTATTATTATTATTTTTTTTTTTTTTTTGAGATAAAGTCTCGCTCTGTCGCCCAGACTGGAGTGCAGTGGCATGATCTTGGCTCACTGCAACCTCTGCCTTCTGGGTTCAAGCGATTCTCCTGCCTCAGCTCTTGAGTAGCTGAGATTATAGGCACGTGTCACCACGCCTGGCTTATCTTTGTGTTTTTAGTAGAGACGGCATTTCTCCAAGTTGGCCAGGCTGGTCTTGAATGCCTGACTTCAGGTGATCCGCCCACCCTGGGCCTCTCAAAGTGCTGGGATTGCAGGCGTGAACCACTGTGCCTGGCCATTATTATTCTTTAAACCACATAATTTTTATATACTTTTCTGTATGTACTGTACATTTCATAATAAATATTTAAAGTCAGTCTCTTATGTATGTTGTGACTACCTGAAATTGCAAGTTTATTGATCTTTTTCACTTTGGTCCAGCTGACAGTATACGTGGGAACGTAAAGTAGAACAGTGTTTTGGAAAAGCTGTTTCACAGTATATCTCAAAAACCTAAGTATTCTCCTTTATCCAGCAGTTCCACTTTGAAGAACTGAACCTAAGGAAATAGTCCTAAATATTGGAAAAGGTTTTACAGAAGGATGCTTATTGCACCATTATTAATAGTTAAAAAATGGAAAGAAAAGGCCATGGTTTATTAAAATAGAGTATATTGACTCGATGGAGTGCCATGCGATATTTCTAAATGATGTTTGTAGAAACAATGTTGTAACCTCAGAAATGCACATGACAGATGAACAAGAACAGGATACAAGATTGTGTCTCTTGGGTGATTATAGCTATGTAAAAAATGTATGAAACAAAGAACTCTGTGCCTGACATCTGCAAAGCCTATCCTATACCTAACTGTTCTTTGAATCATTACTTTAAAATACAGTAATTTAGGCATAATCCAATATATATACTTTACGTCTATGAGGAAAAATTCAAACGTGTTTGAGATTCTTTTCTTCTTCCAGATTAGGTTTTTAAATTCAAACACAGATTTAATAAATCTAACTTGGTTCAGCAATACAGTTGGAACAATTGAACACATTTGTATGTGAGGATGGAGGAGGGAAGAATGAAAAGGAGGGATTGGGAAGGGGATGGGGATGAAGTTCATAAAAGCACAGTGGCTAGACCTGTAACTCATGGCAGTGTCCAGCTATTTGTCCAATGAGCAGTAAATGGCCTCTAAAGTTTCTCCATTGTGTCTATGATCTTGCATTTCAGCATCTGAAAAGAAATCACAAGAGGTTGGGTTGGTGCAATGTTCCTTTCTTCCCAGGACTTTCTGGTCTTCAAGGCTTTCTTATGAGATGGAAGACTGATGGATGTAGAAGTTTCTAAGAGGACAGGTAAGCCTATTGTCCCTAGATCCTCCTCTTTCCCACTGAAAGACCAAACCACCATGGTCAGTTCAAGCGTTCACTGTTCATTGTTTCCTGTCCAGTGACGCTGCCATGTTTTAAAGCAGGAAGACTTTACCACCTCTCAAAGGTCTTTAATTGCCTGACGACTGCTTCTCTTTGGAAGGCTGTCAGGGTGATGGAATCCCAGATCACAGCACAGATAAAATGGACAAAGAAAGAAAGATACAAGAAGAATGTAAAAATGTCCATAATGAACTCATGTATCTTGCGGAAACCTCTAATCTAATGAGAATGGATTTTGTTGAGAAGATTGTACACCAACAATTAATTATTCATGGCAGAGACATCATTAAGATTTCATTTTGTTTAAAGGCCTCTAAGTGACTTAGGAAATTGGGTTAAGCTAGAGAAGAATTTCAAGAAAGAGACAAAGGAAAGCTTTTCGTTATATTGACTTTTTCTAATATTTTCCAGATAGATATTTTGACTTGGCACATAAATTATACTCTGACTAAAAATCTCCAATGATCTGTCTGAGTGAGAGTCTCCACATGGGTGGATAGTATACCAGTGTGGTCAGATGGTAGCAGATTGACAGAGATTTGTGAAAGGATTAGGAGATTCATTCCAGAATTCTATAATAATTCAATTTGGCTTTTTGGTTAGGAATGCAGTGAGAAGTCTCCTTGAAATGACAATGGGATTTGTACAACCTGTGACATTTTGCACTCAAGGATACTTTTCCCAGTGCACTATGGGATGTGAGCACCTGTTCACTTATAGTACATGTAAGATAAGACACTTTTAATAAAAACTCTGGAGATCTGGAGTAGTATAGACCCTATGCCTGCTTATCTTAAAGACAAACACCAGAAACTGGTATCAGGTTGCGAGTTCAATGCGAGATTGATTCAAAGCATAAAGCTAGAGATCTAGTGTAAATTTTCAGAGGGATATCGATTACAGGGTCAATTTCTATGGGCAATTAATGCAGGGGTTTGGTTTATGTTTGAATTCCAAGCACCCAGTGGTATTCAAAAATAGCACCCATTTTTACGTCAAATGTAAAGTTACATTTTGTGTTTGATTTGGGCACCCCGTAATGATTTACAATAAAGGGCTGGGCTTTCGTTTTCTTGTTCCTTCATGAGAAAGGTTAGGACTTGCCTTTCCTCCTTGATCACTATCCCAGTGTCCTGGGTGCTTGGGATTCAAAACTAAACTAAAATTTATTAGCGGTTGAGAAATGTTAAGGTTGAAATAGTAGATCAGGGCATGTCTGCGTGGAGAACATCACAGCAACTGAGAACCGCAATAGAAGAGGCTTGGTAAAGGGAGAATCTCTTCCCTGTTTGTGAGTTAAAGAGTCCTGTAACACCTTTAGGGTGATAAAGAATTAGGGTTGGCGCCCTACGCCTGCACAGCTAGAGTTGGGGAGAAAATAGAGCTCCAGATGTGGAGCCAGGAAGACCTGGGTTGAGTTTTCAGCTGTGTCCCGGGCCAACAACCACAGCAGCAGCAACACCCACCACATGCACCGATCTCCATCTGCCTCAAAGAACTACACATTGTAGTAGAGGGAAAGAGTCAATAATCAATAAATGCACCAAATAGGTAAATTACGTAAATTTATATAAAAGAGTCAATAAATAGTAAGTGCAAAAAATAAGTAAATAAGTACATCTATTATGGTAAAAAGTGATAATTGCTATAGAAAAAAATAGGTGTGTGCCTGATAGTTTGTTTATGAAAATCTGCTTTAACATTTTTCAGAAAGCTGTCTCCTGGAAAAACAAGTAGTCTCTTAACTTTATACATTTCCAGGGACAAAATGTTATAACCACTGCTTAACTGATGGTGATATCAAGTCAAAATGTATGCAGCTTTTATACGGTGGCAGCTCTAATTTCCAGTAGCACGGACATTCTCCCAGTGGTTCCCTTGTTTTACTATCACAGCTAACCACCTATTTATGTGTTTCTTTATCTCAGCCTCTCTGTACCTCTGTGTTACATGGAGAGACAAGATGGCATGTTGTTTTCGTAGCTTGATACATACCACAGCCAGAATTCCAGAACACTACATACTTTACAGTTAAATGTTTAGGCCTCAAAAACAGGAATCAAATACTTTGCTTTCAACACTGCTTCCTTCATGAGAAGGAGAAATCTCACCCCTGAGGCTGGCTCCAGGGCCGTGGCCCCGGTAAAACGCAAGCCCTGGAACAAAGCAGAGGCCTGGCTAAAAGGAATTGTTTGCTTGGTTAGCTTAGCTTGAGGCCGAATACAGGGAATTTGTTTTCAAGCCAGACAGGTGCACTTGAGGGTGCAGGAAGGGAGACTGGCATTTGGGATTGAGCCTCAGGGTGGGTCCATCTTGATCTGTTTTTATTTCAACTGATTAGTCAATCATGGCTTGTTGCTTCTTAAGTCCTAAGAATTTTAGAATTCAGGCAGCCAGTCATGGTTTACAATAAAGACTTGGCACTTTGGGAGGCTGAAGCAGGTGTATCACCTGAGGTCAGGAGTTTGAGACCAGCCTGGTCAAGATGGGGAAACCCCATCTCTACTAAAAATACAAAAATTAGCTGGGTGTGGTGGCGGGCATCTGTAATCCCAGCTACTCGGGAGGCAGAAGCAGGAGCATCATTTGAACCCAGGACGAGAGGTTGCAGTGAACTGAGATTGTACCACTGCTCTCCAGCCTGGGCAACAGAGCGAGACTCTCTCACAAGAAAAAAAAAAAAGATTTGGACTTGTGATTTCCTTATTCCTTCATTGGAAATGTTAGGACGTGCCTTTCCTCCTGGATCTCAATATATTCCATCCAGCCCTTCCCACCTCCCTCACCCCCTCTCCAGCAGGGTCTCCCTCCTGCTGGTCACACAGCTGGCGACTGTAATTAGTCCTCAGGGCTGCAAGGAGAGTCTCAGCAATCCCTTAATGAATCTCCCCGAATCTAATAGATAAGAATTGCACAGGAATATTCAGGATGCAAGAAATGTTCCAGTTCTTTTTTTTTTTTTTTTCATAGTAAGTTTTATTGTATGCTGCTGCCAGTGTTTATAAAACAATTACTCTTGTGAAATAGAAATTCATGAAAATTCAGAGAGGTAGATGTTAAGGACTGACGAAAGCAGAATTTTGTATATTATGGCCCATGTGTTACAGGGATAAGCTTTTGTGCAGGTTTCAAATTTAGCTCTCTTGAATATTCACTGGATCATAAGAAGCGATTTGGAAAACCTTTGAAAGATTCATTTTACTACAAAAAGGAACAGACTTTCTGGGGTCTGAAGGGATTTGTACCTGAAGATACTCCAGTCAGCAGAGGGTCATGTTGAGCATTCTGCAGACCGAATTGTTTTAAGTCTGCAGCTGCCTAGGAAACTTGTACGCGTTTGAGCGTGGTTGAGCCCGGCTTCCAGCGGGAGCTGCTGAACCACTTTCTTCATAGCGGCGATGCCGAAGGAGCCAGGCATGCTGCACATGAGGGCCAGGCCGATTCGTGGGTTGGTGAAATGTTCCAGTTCTGTATTAAAGAATCACAGGCTGGGCGCGGTGGCTCAAGCCTGTAATCCCAGCACTTTGGGAGGCCAAGACGGGCGGATCACAAGGTCAGGAGATTGAGACCATCCTGGCTAACACGGTGAAACCCCGTCTCTACTAAAAAATACAAAAAGCCAGCCGGGCGAGGTGACGGGCGCCTGGCGGGAGGCTGAGGCAGGAGAATGGCGTAAACCTGGGAGGCAGAGCTTGCAGTGAGCTGAGATCTCGCCACTGCACTCCAGCCTGGGCGACAGAGCGAGAATCCGTCTCAAAAAAAAAAAAAAAGAACACAAATGGTGAAAATTCCAATGTCAAACATGAAACTCCCAAAACCTTGAAGTCAGGGTTTATCTCTCACCCCTCTTGACACTTGTCAAAACAGCATGCTGGCTTTGACCTCCTAATGCATCCAAACCTGCCCACTTATCAACAATTCCTGTGCCACCACTTGGGGCTCAGTCCCTGTTCTCTCTTCCCTCAGGTTACTTCAGTAACGTCCTACCTGATTTTCCCACTTCCACTAAACCATTAGTGCTCAGTCTTGAGATGGAACAGGGCTCCCTTTGAGGGTCTGTTGAGGCCCTCAAGCATAGAAATAAAGAAAAATCCTAGTTCCTTTAAGGGAAATTCCAGGTACCTAGGTCACCTTGAGAAGTAAATGAGCAACCTGATAAGTAAATAGGTAAATAGTAGCTTTTTTTTTTTTGAGACAGAGTTTCGCTCTTGTTGCCCAGGCTGGAGTGCAACGGCACGATCTCAGCTCACTGCAACCTCTGCCTCCCGGGTTCAAGCAATTCTCCTGCCTCAGCCTCCTGAGTAGCTGGGATTACAGGGATGCGCCACCACCCCTAGCTAATTTTGTGTTTTTAGTAGAGATGGGGTTTCTCCTTGTTGGTCAGGCTGGTCTCAAACTCCCAACCTTAGGTGATCTGCCCACTCTGGCCTCCCAAAGTGCTGGGATTATAGGCATGAGCCACTGTGCCTGGCCAATAGTAGTTTTAAACAACAGCCAAGGAAACTAGAGCCACAAACTCTTTGGTTCCCTATAGAAACTAAAGATAACATCTTCACATATGTCTTTGAGTTGTTTTTTATAAACCCGAACCCCCAGCAAATGCAAAATGCCATCTGCCGGCCTGTAGATCTCAGATAAGGGGAATGAGGACTGAACTCTGCCTGCCAGTTATTCTAAACTTCTTCCTGAGGTGCCCAGAGGAAGTCATGCCCACAGGCCAGAGCTCAACATTCCTTTTGACTGACCCCAAGTTTTTAAACAAAGCTTAATCAATCACAAGTCAGGAAATCTTTGAATTCACCTATGACCTTTGGTCCTCCCAATCCCATTTCAAGATGTCCTGCCTTTTTTAGGCCAAGCCAATGTATAGCTTCATTGTGTTGATTTATGACTTTGCCTGTAACCTCTGCCTTCCTGCCTATATTAGGCAGTTCTTGCATTGCTATAAAGAAATACCTGTGACTGGTAATTTATAAGAAAAGAGGTTGAATTGGTTCACAGTTCTGCAGGCTGTGCAGGAAGCATGATGCCGGCATCTGCTTGGCTTCTCAGGTGGCCTCAGGAAGCTTACAGTCATGGTGGAATGCAAAAGGGGGGCAGTTACCTCACATGGCAAAAGCAGGAGAGAGAGAGAGAGAGATTGAGAGAGAGGGATCGGGAGGGTGGGGGGTAGGTGCCACACAACATTAAAGAACCAGATCTCATGTGAACTCAGGGCGAGAGCTCACTCAGCACCAAGGGGATGGCCCAAGCCATTCATGAGAAATCTACCCTCACAATCCAGTCACCTCCCACAAGGCCCCACCTCCAATATCGGGGATTATAATTCAACATGAGATTTGGGCAGGGAGAAAATATACAAACCATATCACTGCCTTAGAAAAACCCTTATCTGTCAGCCAGTGGGGAGTTCTGGTCTTAAGCATGAACTGCCCAATTCTCCTTGCTTGGCGCTTTGCAATAAATGCCTCACTTTTTCTTGCTGTAAATCCTGATGTCAGTGTTTGGCTTTGCTGTGCCGGGTAGGTGGGCCCAAGTTCTGTTTGGCAATATTCTCATCTGGTTCCTCTTGTGCTCAACACCTCGCAGTGGCTTCCATTCCACGTGGAGTAAAAGTCAAAGCTCCCCTATGCACCTCTCTGAGACTTACCCCCAATGATGCTCTCTCCTCGGCCCCTCCTCTCTAGCCACCCTACCCTCCTGCTGGTTCCTGAACACCTCTGGCAGTCTCCTACTTGAGTAGGAAGAGTAGGTCAGGGGTCAGGACCTACTCTTATTCCCCTGAGCTTACCTCCCCACACACCCACCCCTACATGTCTCTGTTTACCCCTGAGTCCCCATCACCATCTAGCAGACTGTATGTTTTACTTGCAGATTACATTTAGTGATTTAATGCTTAATCTGTGGCTCTGCCTGCTGGTGATGTAGCTGTGGTCTTTTATTTGCTGATATATCTCCAGTGTTTAGATCAGTGCCTGGTACATAGTAGATGCTCAATAAATATTTGCTGAGTGTATGAGTGACTTTTCTGTGACTTCATCAATTATCTTTGAATTAATCTAAGACCTGGAGCTCAAGAACGTGGCTGGGAGAGGCCTGGGATCATGAACATTCTCTAGGCACCACCTCCACTACTGCGGGTTGAGCCCAGGTACTAGGTTTATTTTTTGGCACCGTTGTCTAAATAAGCTCACAGCAAGCTGATTGTAGGGACATTCCTTGTCAACTGCTGGCCTGGCCACTGGACTCCTCATGGCTGTTCTCAAGGTAGGGGGCCTTAGGTTCCAGCCTTTTTTAGATCTCATGCAGCTGTGTCCATTTAGGGTCTGGTCACCTCCAGGAGGCTCCTGTCAGAAACCTGCAGTGTGCAGAAGGGAGGAGCCCCGTTTCCCTGGAGGAGGAGGGGCCCCCAGGCCTGTCCCTCTCAGCCTGGCTGCTGAAAATCCCCCAGAGACTTAAAAAAATACCCTGTCTGGGCCCCACCCTAGGCCAAATGAAATTGGAATCTCTGGAGATAGAACCTGGTAATACATACATTTTTCAAATTTCTAGATTATTTTAAATGCAGCCAGGATTCACATCAAGTGTCCTAGGACAAAGGCCTCCTGGGAGAAAAAAATACGCATGTCCTTCCCCTCCTCCCAAAGGCAGCCAGAAAGGATAAAGAAATGAGCAAACAAGGCACTAATGTCTTCATTCCTCAATGCCTAAGCCTGTTGTTGAAAAGATGAAGAAGATACCATTTGCTTACTTCCTTAATTAAATCCTTAGGTTAAAATTTTAGATGTGAAGTTACAGGATATTTTTGACACTTAAAAAAAAACCATAATTTCACTAGAAGTGAAAAAGGTGTGATTATTTGGGCCCTTCCAATTCTGGAAATTTTCAGCTTAAAAATCTTTGCCCATTTGGTAGATGAAAAATAGTTTCGCATGTGTGCAACACATATTTCTTGAATGTTTTATATATGCCATTACTCCATTGGACAGTGTTACTTTAATTTCAAAGTGTGTCGATCTTCATTGAGATTCAGCATATTTTCATATACTTGGTAGCTAATTATAATTCTTTTTTTTTTTTTTTTTGAGACGGAGTCTCGCTTTGTTGCCCAGGCTGAGATGCAGTGGCACGATCTCAGCTCACTGCAACCTCCACCTCCCAGGTTCAAGCGATTTTCCTGCCTCAGCCTCCTAAGTAGTTGGGACTACAGATGTGTGCCACCACACCCGGCTAATTTTTTGTATTTTTAGTAGAGATGGGGTTTCACCATGTTAGCCAGGATGGCCTCGATCTCCTGAGCTCAAGTGATCCACCCGCCTCGGCCTCTCCGTTCTTTTATGTATAGCTCACTCTAGCTGAGGTGAGAGTGGATGGTTGGAGGGGGAGGGGGCCAGAATGGCAGACAGAGATATGTCCAGAGGCCATTGCAGTGGTGCAAGTGTGAGAAGTGGGTACCATGAGAAGGGGTCAGGTTTGGGATGTATTGCAGAGGCTGGGCTAATAGCATTTGCCGATGGATTGCGTGTGAGCTATGAAGGGAATCAAGGATGACTTGGAGGTTTTCAGGCTGAGCAACTGAGTGGGCGGTGGCCTCACTTTCTGAGCTGGAGAAGGCAGGAGCCTGAGGTATAGTGGCTGGGAAGAGGAGGTGGTGGCTGGTCTTGCTCAGCTGGAAGCTCAGGAATGCTGGGCCAGGTTTCCAGGCCTGCTGGTCTTTGGGGCTGGGAGAGATGTACTGTGTTGTGGAAGCTGGTTCAGGGGATCAGTCTCTCTCTGCAGGTAAGGAAGGACACACAGCAGCAGAAGCTATTCTTTCCACAGCCCAAGACACTCTCTTTCATATATATATTTTGTGAAGATTTTCATCCCTGCTTCTCTATTTTCTGATTTTTAAAAGTGAATCTTACAAGCATTTTTCTTTATTTAAATACATACAAATTATACATTTAAAATAGAACATGGCATGACGGGAAAGTATAAAGATTTGCTCATTTATGTCTATACTGTTGGACTTGTATGATGTTTCCAAATCTTTATAAATATATGTTGCAATGGACATTTTTGGGTATATGTGTGTGCTTATATATTTGCTAAATTATCCTTTAGGATAGATACATTTCCAGGATTTCAATTGCTGCATCAGAATATAAAAGGTACAAAGCCATTTCATTGATTCTTTTGTTTTAGTCCCTGATGCCTCATCGAATCCGGGGCCAAGTTCAATCCTCCTTCTACTGCTCCAGACGGCTCCCCTTTCTCCCTCTCCCACCAGGACCCCCAATCTCCCCCGTTTCCCCAACGCTCCTTCTCAGAGCCAGGCTTCCTCTCACTACCAGCCAACCCCTACCCTTCTGGAAGTCCACCAGTAATCTGAACACATCTCTTGTATCTGCGCTAAAGCCACCATTGAGGATATTCAGAATTTTGCTGTGGAATCTGCTTGGGAAACTAACAGAGTATTAATAATATTTAGAAGAATTATGTAATAGAGGAAAAGTTATGGGGGATCAGAGATATTTAAGTGTGTATTTTTGTCTTACCCCTTACTAGCTAAAATGTAAATGAATTTGAAGCCTGTAGGCATGTGCTTAAAAAATCACTGTGCGCAAGTCATGTATACTCTGTGTGAGCCTCAAGTGCTCAGTTAAAATGGGAAGAATAATCACTATATCCTAGGATTAGCGTGAGGGGTGCACGAAAAAGCACGTGAAACACACAGCCTCATATCTGGTGTACAATACCTTGTATTTTTTTGGGTTTGCTTTCCTTCCATTCAATTTTTCCTTGGTTGCATCATCTTAGAAATTATGGCTAAATATTAGAGCTCTTTGTATCCTCAATAAAAAAGACATGGACTTAGATAACACTTTACCACGAAATCAGCTGAGGTTTGTGTTGCTTCTCAAATCTAGGAAGCACATTAGTCAGAGGCTGAATGCTAACCCTCTTTTCTCTGAGCCACAGTGGAAAAAAAGGAGATTTTCCTGTATCACTCTGATAGTATTCTGTTTCCTTCACCAATGTAAGTCCGTTATTGCAGCCAAGAAAATGCACTGATACCTGGATGAAAGGGGACTCCATGGAATATGAAGTTGTTTGAAAAGATATGAGTGGCATGCATTAAGATGCCAGGTTTTTATTTTATTTCCCTTCAGCTTGTAAACACTTCGGTAACCTGCAAAGATGCTGGAGCCGGTGGGGAAGAGAGTCCAGCCAGGATGTCCAAATGCCACTGCCACATCAGGATTACTAATGGGCATGGTCATCTTCTAACCAGTGAGCTTCTTTAATTTTGGGGAGACAACAAAAATGAATCAAAAGAATAATGTGGTTCTAATGTCATCTCTGAGAAAAATGATATCAGCCAAACCCTGTATCCTTAAGCCAGGCTGATCTGCCCGACACCATAAGGGCAGTTGGCAAATAGGCACACAGCAGTGCATTAGCTCAGTGGGCTTAGTGTTGGATGCTAAATTCCAGTTTCACTCTCATTGCCCTTGGCTTCTGCCAGGGACTTGGTCTCAGTGTCAGCCCTACTTTTGCCACATAGATTTTGTGTTTGAACTTTGTTTTTCCGACTTTGATGCTCAGATCGTCTCACAACTCAAGCTCTGGCCTCCTCCTTCCTGACTGCTTTGAGTAGACACAGACCTACTTTTTCTCCAAGGACAAAATACTTATCTGGGCTCTGATCATGCTACCTTAGTCACCTAAATATCATCAGTGCTGATTCCTAACCACTCTGACTATTGTCACCAGAAAGTGGCCTGATAGTGTTGGGAAGTCTTGCTCCTTGTCTGGGGCCCGAGGCCCTCTTTTGAAGTTTGAAGGCTCTTCTGTAGGTAGGTAGGCGGGGTCATCATTTGCTTAGCAGCCAAACCAAAATGTTGTATACTACCTGTGGTAGGTAGAATGATGACCCTCCAACAATGTCCACATCCTAATCCCCTGAACCTGTGAGTGTATCGTGTGACATGGCAAGGGGGAATGAAGGTCGCAGAAAGAATTAAGTTGCTAATCAACTGATCTTATGATTGGGAAATTATTTTGGATTACTGAAGCAAGTCTAATGTAATTATTAGGGTCTTTAAGGTGGGAGAGGGAAGCAGAAGAGGAGGTCAAAAGGAGAGAGAGATTTGAAGATGCTCCACCCCTGGCTTTGAAAATGGGGAAAGGGACCACAAGGAGCTGGAAAAAGCAGAGAAAGATTCTTTCCTAGAGCCTCCAGGAGGACACAGTCCTGCTGACGCCTTGATTTTAGCCCAGAATGATCAATGTCTGACTTCTGGCCTCTAGAATTGTAAGACAATGCACTTGTGTCCTTCAAAGCCTCAAAGTGGGGGCTAATGTTATAGCAGTAACAGGACATTAATATACCCTTCAAACAACAAAGAGCTTCTTTCTATTCAATAATGAATTTTTATAAATGAAAAAAAAAAATCCATCTTTGAACGTGGAAGGTTAAATTGTCACCTAAAATGCCTGGATTACTGGATATAAATTGGTGTTTTTCTAGCCAAAATACTGATGTTTGAGAAGCAGAGAGGATCAGCTGCTCCTTCTCTTACTGAGATAGATGGGATCAGTAAGAGGAAGTCCCCTTTGATTTTAAACAGAGGCTCTAGGAAGGTCCAACATCTGTTCTGCCTTGATCATGTCTCTGGTCATCTGATGGCAAGGAAAGGTGAACCCAGAGTCAGCAATTGGTTCAAAAGATAGTCTGCCCCAGTGCCTGGGCAGCCTGGCCTGTCTGCCACCCCAGGTCTCTGTAGAGCCCAGAAGAGCCCACCTGAAGCTCTCTCCGGATCCCTCTCAGCAGCTTGAGGGAGAGCAAAGGACCACAGGCAAAGATGTTTGTTCTAATTCAGAGTGTCCATGTTTTTCCTGCCAACGAGTCACCCTGCTCTTGTAATTGACCCCTGCGTGTCCTTGGGGGAGAAGTGGTAATGGTGGGAGAGGCCAGGGGAAGATCCAAAGGAGGAGCTGACTCGGGATCCCCATCCTGCCATTCATCCAGCAACATCTGCAGGCTGTGCAAAGCCCTGCCTTGCATCTCTGCAGGCAAGCTCAGGCTGCAAAATGAATGCAAGGCAGGTGTGGCAGTGGGGAAAAGAAGGCAAGGGGAGGAGTAACTGTGTAGCTTGATTTCATACTCTTAACCTTTTAGGAATTCTAACCTGAAAAATGTTGCCAGCTACGGATAAGGTACTTTGCAATTTGTTATCCCATTTTACTCTCCACCCATTTTATAGTAGAGGAAAGTGAACTTTTACAATGTATCTTAGTCCATTCAGGCTGCTATAACAAATATACCACAAACTGGAGGTCCTAAAGAGAAATATGTATTTATCACAGTTCTAGAGGCTGGGAAGTCCAAGATCAAGGTTCCAGCGGATTCGTTGCCTTCTTCCTGGTTTTCATATGACCATCTTCTCACTGTGTCCTCACATGGTGAAAACAGATCAAGAGAGCTGTAAGGGCATGAATCCTATTTGTGAGGGCTCCAGGTTCATGATCTAATTACCTTTCAAAGAGAGTCATCTCTACCAACACATTAGGGGTGAGGATTTCAACATGTGAATGTTGGGGGTACAGATTCAGTTCATAGCACCATGTGACAGGCAATATTCTAAAATATTCACAGAAAATCTAACTAATTTAGGTACTAGATTTTGGATGGCAATTTGGATGGAGTCTGAAAAAACTTCCCCTTTACAATATTGCTTTATGGAAAAGAGGCTTGTTCTATAAGTGAAGAGTGCATGAGGCTTTCCCCTCATGACAGATTATCTGAACCAGGATTCTTAGTTGCTCCTGTCAAGTCAGAGGGGCTTAGGATGTAGCCCCTTCAGTTCCTACACAGCCATGCCCATCGCAGGCAAAGTCACTTGGGGGGCTCCTCTCAGAAAACTGCAGTGTGGGGAACAACCCTTCTTGCTGTGGGTGAGGAAAGCCCAGGTCAATCCTTCTCAGTAGACTACTCTGAGAACTCTGTAAGGAGCTTTAAAAATATCCTGCCTAGGCCCCACCCCGAACTAGTGAACTCAAGTCAGGGTTGTGAAACATTGGCCTCTCTTAGGACAAAGGCCTTGAAAACGTTTCTGTGTCACATGACAAAAATCCTTTTTCTTAAGCCCCAACCCATCTAGAGCGACAGACAAAACAAGCAAATGGACACACCAAGACACCAACTGGTTTCTGAAGGTTTCATCTGGTTACATCAAAGATGCAGAAGCTACAACTTTGTGCACATCCTTAGTCAAATTCTTAAATTGAAAATTTAGATATGAAAGTAATCGTTCAAACTATATGGGCACTTCGGAGACTTTTGAGACGAATTTTCTGATAAAAAACACAGTCTCTCCAGAAGTGTGAAGAGTGCCATTTCTCTGAGCCCTTGCTAACACTGTACATTTATACTTAAAAAGTTTTGCCAATTCGTAAATGAAAAATTGTTTTTCATGTATACAATAAATATTCATTGAGAAGTCACTTTGTGCCAAGCACTACATTGAGCAATGTGTTATTTTAATTTCAAAATGTTTAGTTGCTTGCTGAGATTGAACATCTTTTCAGAAATTCAATATGATACATATATATTTTCTATTTGTAAAGCTCACTCTAGCTGTGACAAGATGATAACTGCACAGTAGGAGGGAACTGGGGGGCCAGGATGGAGATAGCGAGACACGTCCAGAGGCCATTGCTGTACTGCAGGTGGCATCCAAGGGTGGCTGGGCTGAGTGTGAGAAGTGGAGGTGGTGAGAAGGGGTCACAGTTGGGACATGTATTGTAGGGGGAGAGCTAATAGTGTGTGTTGATGGACATGGACTATAAGGCGAAGTGGGGAAAAAAAGATGACTTGGAGGTTTTCAGGCTGAGCAACTGAGTAGTTGGTGGCCTCATTTCCTTAGGTGGGGAAGACAGGATGGAATAGGTTAGAGTGGGGAAGGGTGGACCAATATTTCTTTTATGTGCAAGATGTCTATTAGACAAGTGGAGATGCTGAGTCAACAGTTGGATTTACAAGCTTGGAAATCAGGAGGGATTAGTTTGGAGATACAGATTTGAGAGCCAGAGCACAGATAGTTTCTAAAGCAGTGAGAATGGGTGAGATTTCTTAGAGAGAGAGAGAAGAGATAGATAAATGAAGACTGAGAACTGGGGAATGTAATAATTTAAAGTTCTGGGAGAGAAGCAGAGTCTAGAGAAGGAGAGAAAATGAACAACTGGTGAAACAAAATATCTAGTGCGTCTTCTGTCAAAGAAACCTAAGGAAGAAATATTCCAAAAGTGTCAGCCGGGCGGGGTGGCTTGCACTTTGGGAGGTGCTAGGTGGGCGGATCACCTGAGGTCAGGAGTTTGAGACCAGCCTGGCCAATGTGGTGAAACCCCATCTCTACTAAAAATACAAAAATTAACCAGGCGTGGTGGTGTGTGCTTGTAATCCCAGCTACTTGGGAAGCTGAGGTGGGAGAATCGCTTGAACCTGGGAGGCAGAGGTTGCAGTGAGCCGAGATCATGCCACTGCACTCCAGCCTGGGCGACAGAGTGAGACTCTGTCTCAAACATCTCAAAAAAAAAAAAAAAAAAAAAAAAAAGTGTCAACTGCAATCAGTGAGATGGGGACAAGAAATTGATATTAACTTTGACCATATGTTTGATAAGAGTTGCTTTCTTGGTGCAGTGGGGACAGAATCATGATTACAATGGTTAAAGAGGAAGAGGAGATGGTGACAAATCTCTTGAGGAATTTTGTGTTGAAATATTCTCTGTTGGAACAGAGAAATAAAATAAAATATGTATCTGTTCTTGGAATCTAGGAAAGATTTAAAAACAATGTGTTTGTAGGCTCATGGGAATGTTCTTCTCTGTGGGAGAAATGGATGATGCCAGAAGGAGAGGGAATAATGGCAGAACCTTTTACTTATCAATGAGAAGTCAAGAGAGAATGGGGTGCAGACTGCAAGGGGAAGGATTATCTTTGGTTTGCTCAGGGATATTTGTTAGACAGTGAAAATGGAATATGGGGTACAAATGCAGACCAGTTCATGGATTTAGTGGGACTGAGATGTGGGCATCCACTTTGCACTCACATATGTTGACCGCTTTGTCTGCAACAACCTAGGTACCTCAAGACATGGAGATCAGCTTGCTTCTCAATGCCACATTCCAAGCTATTTCATCTTCAAAAACCTCAGACTGAAGAATCAAGCCTTTTCTCTTATCCACTGCAGCCATCTACTCAACACCTTCCAATGCCCCACACCCCACTTCTTGAATTGATGCATTTAGCATTTGGATCACTGGCTTTCTGTACATGGTTGCTCATGTAGAACTTTGGGCAACTCACTGTGCCCACAAATTATGAGTCCAATAACCTGTTGCTCCAGATGCTTGATTTCCTCAACTCCAGTACCCTTGAAGTGAGGTCCACCTCACTCTTCTGATAGTGGCAGGAGGCAGTCAAATGCCTAGGCAGATGGGGTGGGTCCCCAATGAAACTCCCCTTCAAACCAAAGACAGTTCAAAGCCTGAAAGCCAAGCTACAAGTCTTGGATAAATCCATGGACCAGACTGAGAACCTCTCTTCTCGTTTGGCATGCTTTCCTTTGATTGATCCCCACCTTTCACCTATTTTGCATATAGCTGCCCTTTCCTGAGTGGTTTCTTGCACTGTGTTTCTTACCTACCTTTGATTGGTGCCTTTGTTTTAGCCTTTCTTGCATACTCATAAACCAATCAGCATGCACTCCCCCATTCTGAGCCCATAAAAGCCCTGGACTCTGCCACAGTTGGTGGGGACTGCCTGCCTTCAGGTGGGGGGAGCTACCCAACTTCAGGTAGGGGGCTGCCTTCTCTTGATCCCCTCTCTGCTGGGAGCTGTTACTCAGTAAAGCTCTCTGCCCTGCTTACCCTTTGACTGTCAGCGTAATCTCATTCTTCTTGGACATGGGACAAGAACTTGAGACCCACTGAATGTGGGTATGAAAAAGGCTATAACATCCCCTTTGGGGTTTCAGGGTCACTGGCATCCCTGTTCAAGCACCACCACATTCCCCTTGTTGGAATGCTGGTGCACAAGGCAGAGGCAGGTCAAGGCACCCCTAGCCTGGCCCAGCTGTGGGCTGAGTGTGGATCCTGTGGTGAACGTGGGATCCAGCCAGAGTACAAGCCAGGTGTGGCCTGGCTTGTCGAGTGGCCAGGGTGGGATCCAGCCACAGTACAAGCCAGGTGTGGCCTGGCTCGTCGAGTGGCCAGGGTGCCTCCTGTTGTGAGCTCAGGGCTGAGTGAGGCTCAGGTGTGGGTTTTGCCGGCTGTGGATATCTCCAGCTGGCCAAGCAGCACTGAAAAAATCCTGCATCACTGCTACTTGCTTGTAGGGTCATAATGAAAATCAGGGAGTGCATCTTTTAAGGGGGCTCAGGTAAACCATGTCCTCCAGTGCCAGCCAAGTTTCACTCAGAAGAAAAAAGGGAAAACAGGCTGGGAGTAGTGGCTCATACCTGTAATCCCAGCGCTTTGGGATCTTGAGATGGGCAGATCACCTGAGGTCAGGAGTTTGAGACCAGCCTGGCCAACATGGTGGAAACCTGTCTCTACTAAAAATGCAAAAATTAGCTGGGCGTGGTGGCACATGCCTATAATCCCAGCACTTGGGGAGGCCAAGGAGGGCATATCACCTGAGCTCAGGTGTTTGAGACCAGCCTGGCAACATGGCGAAATCCCATCTCTACTAAAAATACAAAAATTTGCCAGGAATGGTGGTGCATGCCTGTAATCCCAGCTACTTGGGAGGCTAGGCAGAAGAATTGCTTGGACCCAAGAGGCAGAGGTTGCAGTGAGCCAAGATCACACCACTGCACTCCAGCCTGGGCGAACAGAGGGAGACCTCTCAAAGATAATAATAATAATAACTTTTAGGATATGGCTGGAGATTAAAAGTGATTTTGCTGATGAGAGGTGGTTAATTTGGGACGATGAAGAGAGGAAGTGATTAGGTCCAGTTGGGGCACTACAGATCAGAGTGGGGTAAGCACGTCTCTGATTATGCTGAGGACTGAAGCAAATGGGATGTGTGGTATAGTGGAATTGGTCCTTCCTTTGAGGAAGGAGGGCCATCAAAGGAAAGCTGTAGATTATTTAGCTGTTGAGCATGTAAGGTGTGGGACCTTCTCAGTAGCAACTGAGGCACCTCCCAGAGCCCTGCAACCTCAGGGAAGGACCAGGGTGGCTGATCTTTCTTTCAGATGCCCTCAGGCAAAGTTCTTGGGGCTGGTTCCAGGTGTCCTCTTGTGGCAGCTAAGCATCTAGTCCAGGTGACTGATGTCTCCCTTGAGGGTAGGGAATGACTTCTTAGAGCAGATGGAAGGTTTCTCCAGCAGCTTTGTGTGTGACTCTCATATATGTTTTATTTTTTCCTGCTTATTTGTTTTCTGATTTGTGTGTAACTGAACCTTAGGCATTAAGCATTTTTCTATTCATATATTATTCACAATTATATTTTTATGTTGTATAATATTGCATGGTATAAAGCATAAAATGCGCTATTTTATTTCCTTATTGTTGGATATGTATGCTATTTCCAAATCTTTGCAAATATATGTTACAATGAACATTTCTACATATATATGTATATTTTATTTGCTAAATTATTACTTAAGATAAATTTCCAGGGTCAGGATTATTGGATTGAAATATAGGAAAGGGGCCAGGTGCAGTGGCTCACACCTGTAATCCCAGCACTTTGGAAGGCCAAGGCAAACGGATCAACTGAGGTCAGGAGTTCAAGACCAGGCTGGTCAACATGGTGAAACCTCGTCTCTACTAAAAATACAAAAATTAGCCAGGTGTGGTGGCAGGCACCTGTAATCCCAGCTACTTGAGAAGCTGAGGCATGAGAATCACTTCAACTTGGGGGTGGAGGTTGCAGTGAGCCAACATCACACCACTGCACTCCAGCCTGGGCCACAGAGCAAGACTCAGTCTCCAAAAAAAAAAGAAAAAGAAAAAAACATGTGAATGGTTTACGGCCATTTCCATGACCCATTAGTTTTAATCCTAAATACATCATCTAATGCAGAAGGAAGTTTAGTTCTCCTTTCATGGCTCCAGGCTGCTCCTCCTTCCTTTATCCACCTCCTAATATAGTTCCTCAATTTCCTCTGACCCCCAAACATGTCTCTTTAGCACCGTATTTCCTGTTACCAACAGCTGTCACTCTTAGCCTCCAGAATTCCACCAGTAAATTTAACAGGTCTCTTGGATTTTTGTTGAAGCTGCCACGAAGATAGTCAGAAGAATTTGTTCTTGAATCTGATTAAAGCAGTGTAATAGTATTTGGAGGTATCACGTTATAGAGGGAAAGATTTGAGAGCTGGAGAAACCTAAAATTGAATTTGAGCCTTAGCATTTCCTAGCTAAAAATGCTATAAAACATATGCAAATGTAGACGTGATATGAAAATTACCTTAAGCAAGTCTTTTATACTCTCTGAGCTTAATGTGTTGAACTATAAAATTACTCTAATGAGAATGCTTTCATATAATTGATGCATGAGATAAAGGCAAATGTGAAAATACCTTCTGGCACGTCTGGTGTGTGAAAATTATTATTGCTGTTTCTCATTTTTTTTTCTGTATTCACTGGCTTTTGATCATTCTTGGATCAAATGACTCAGTGTTTGAGTCATTGGTGGTATCATTGCCTGTCAGTCAAAACTCCCAAGGAATACATCTGCAGTGGAACATATTTGCCTGTGTTACTTACTGCAACAAAGGAGACTACACACCATGAGGAAATCAGGAAGCATTTCAGGATTTAAACCTGTTAGGTGGTTTTGGGGGGTGTCTGAAGAAGCAGGGTACTCTCCTGGGTTGGATACTGTCAGGAAGTAAAATTAAATCTATGTATGGACAACTTAATATTTTACCTTGGAAGTGGGAGAAGTGGAATGGAACTGAAGATGTAATTGGCAAAAAGGCAACGGCCACTCATGTGAGCTGAGAGAGGAAGAAATTGGATTGTTTTTATAGTATTTCCAGTATTCTCATGTTTGTATTCAGACATAACTTCCGAGGGATTTGGCTTTTCTCCTACTCTCTCATGGTCCCACGTTGAATTGATCTGATGTAGGTGTTCTGTGAAATTGTTTATCTTCAGTAGAACATCATGGTCTTGCTGGTAGTGCAAGCTGACGGCTTTTGGATACGTTTTTCTTGTAATTCTCACTTTTGGCCAACAGCAGATGAAGTTAGGCCACAGGTAATTAATCCATGATATTGAGGTTTTTCACCATTACTGAGATTCTGCCTGTTGGGAGACTGTCTAGAGAACATTCTTTGTATTTGGACAAATTAGTACCTCTTACTCCATTTGTTATCAGATGAGTTGTTGAGTGATCTCACATGACAATGGTGATGTATTTTAGACTCAGTACAAGATGCATCAGTCAAGTGGTTTCTAGGCAATTATGAAAGACAAAATGACTATTCATTAGTTTTCCAAGGCCAGGGGCCCAGGTGACTAACCCCAGGCCATGAAAACATGAGTCAAAGTCCAAGTGGGTCTGCTGTAGGGATCTAAGCCATGACCCTTTCTTTCAGTCCAATCACAGACTATTCCATCTCTCCAATTGCACATATGTTGATGACACAGGGAGTGTTGACTATAGCATGAATTCCCTATTAACTAGTCCATTTAACTAGTTTATTTTGGGCCTTCACAGTAGAGGTAGTTTGTACTTAAGAGTAATACTGTATGGAGCACAGACCTTATTGAATGACAGTCACTTTAAAAAAAAAAAAAAGGAAAACCAAACCCTCTACTTCTAATTTTACTAATTTTATATATTATTTATGTAACAATTTGCAGGGAAAGATAAATAAACCTTCATGGCTGTATTTACATATATGCATGTAAATTAGCATAAAATTAAGTGATAAATGTAAATATTTTAACTATAACTTCAAAATATAATTGACCTATTGATATTTGTTAAAACAATATATATATAAAATACTATCTTAATACACTGTAATGCTTTTAACAATCAAATCACATCAATTATCTTATATACATACTCTTTTTTCTGTAATTATTGCACTAGTCTACTCAACTATTTATATTATTATATGTAGCCAAATTAACCTGCTTTTTTCCTCAAACAAAAAAGCAAACTAGAAAACTGTTGAATTGTTTTAAAATTTTGCCATTTTCAGCAAATTTAAGATAGCAAAACAAATGTAGTAATCATAAAAGTCATTTGCATACCCTGTTAATTTGTAGCCATCTCAAGAAATAAGGGTAAATTAAAATTATATTTAGTCTTTTGAATCTTATTCTTAGGAATTGTCTAGGTATCAAAAATTATTTCTTGATTCAATTTAATATTTGTCTTAGGTCTTAAAGTTGCTAAAGGTTATGATTTTAATTAATACATTAGTTCTTTCTGTTTTGTTTGTAATATTAAAAGAAGTTTTATAAGATTAAATGCTTTAAAATAACATCTATTTTTTGATTCTATTTAATTATACAATGACTCTCTTGATGAGAGGTTCCCATTACTAGTTCCTTTTCACAGATAAGTAAACTATCGACTAAATATTTATAAACTATTTAGTATTGTTAGAAATCATTCTGAAGGCTTTACAACTTAATTTCATTTTGATACTGTGTTTTATACATTGTGGCTATTTGGTCTGGATCTGGACAAAGATTCCCTTTTGTAATTTCATTTTATGGATAAATTTTGTCACATATGCTAAGAGTGTAAGTGAGCTGCTTTGAGTAATATTAGAAAGGTATGTTTTGAAGAAAATAATTCATGTGTCTGGTTTTTAAAGCCAATCAATATTTGTATAGGTATGAAACAATTTTTACATTTGCCTTTTAACTATAATATAGCATTTGGACAAACAAAGACAACATTTAAAGTGAAAAATATTTTCTCTCGCTGATACTCATACTACTCACATTATTGTTGAGGTTATAATGGACACATAATTAAAATTAAAATACAGTTTTTATACTCTCGAGAGGGCAAAATAAAAAGTAATTATATATAATCATTTTGTAAATGATATACTTATCATTTATAAATCTCTGGATATTATAGCTTCATGTAGCAAAAAATATAATCTCTTAAGCAGGAGCAGCTGCATAAACTAATAAGGAGAGAGGCACGATTAAATTTTTTTCTAAGCAAGACAAAGGAAAGCTCCAAGTTTCCTGGCGTAGTTTTGGAAGTGCAATAGTTGGTTTGTTTGAAGACTGAATTAATTTTGCAGGCACACATTTCTATTTTCAGGCTGTGAAGTTTGGGGGAGGTCTTGACGGTGGTGGCAGTGGTGGGATCCATGCATGGCATCTGGAAGAAGGAGAGAAAGGAAGAGAAAGAGGCAAGGAGGGAGGAGGAAAATGAGGCCTTGAAATATCATACACAGTTCCTTCGATGGAAGGAGGAGCGAGGTGAGCATAACCTGGCAGCTTAAGCGGAAGCTGAGCAGAGGGGAGGGGAGCTCTGTTTTCCAATTAGGGAGGCCCCCTTGCTGTGAGGGACCAGCTGTGCACCAGCGGCTCTGTTTGGAAGAGCTACTTGCTGTGGGATGACTCATAATTCCTCTTCTAGAAACTGGACCTTTCCCCTGACTTCAGCTGTCTCCTCTTGTTCTGGGCCTGGACTTCTCTTCCTACAGGTCCTCCTAAGGAACTAAGTTGACCCTCTTCAGTTCTCGGGGTTTTCTGGCAGGCTCCAAGTTCCTGCTGACATCCTAAAGGTTAATGCTCTATAAGGAAGATTCTAGCTCCACAGCCTCCTTTTTGTCAGAGCTGAGATTATCCGTGGTTTTGCATTTCTCCTGAATCAGTGGGACATGTTTTTCTTCCAGCTGTGTCTCTCTCTTAACATAAGGTTGAATTTCAGCTGATTAATGTATCTGAAAAAAGAAAAAAAGGTATGAAAAGTCTACATATGGCTGCACATGTCCCAGACTCTCACAAGAGGGGGAGGACGTCAAGGTCAGGCTCAGGTTGGGTGGGGTCATGGCAACCTCCCTACTCACTTTCCTAAGGACATTCTCCAAGGGGTGCTGCACAGAGGGCACCCTGAGCACCATCCTGTAGCCACGGCTTCACAAGGTCACACTCCACACGTACCACAGAGCCACCCCAAGGGTTCAGCCCGGAGTCCTCCTCAGCACCTGGGAAGCAGCGCAGAACCCTAGAACCTTGGGAGATGGCCGGACAGATTCAGCGAAGAGTACCTATGCTCTGGGACTGGCCAGCACATCCAGCTCCCTCCTTCCTCTCTCTCATAATTGCATACATGGGTACATAAGGAAACGCTGAAAGACTAGTACAATGGACATCCCTATATGTACCTGCTAGATAGAACAGTTGACATTTTCCTATATTTACTTCTATCTCTGTCTCTTTTTTTCTCTGAAACATTTCAAAGTAATAGATGACTTGACATTTCAGCGTGCGTTTGAAAATCGTGTGCACATTGTACTCCATTTCCATGTGTCACTGTGGTCCTTTGTTAAGCTCATTTTCCAGATGAGGAAAGGAACTGAAGCACAGAGAAAGAAGTTACACAGGAAATTGCAGACCTGAAATTTATATCCAGCTCTCACTAGCTCTGAAGGTTGCGAGAAGATTTCACAGTGATCTCTCCGACTGCGTGGAGGAGAAGGTCTCAGGTCAGTGCCTATCCTTTCTCATATCTCCCTGGCACTCCCTTGTCTCCCTTTTCAGCACAGAGGGCACTTCTCAGGTGTAGAATGATTGCAGGCACAAGATCTCTCTCAAATTGAATCATGTATTTTAAAATTTATATTTAATTTTATACTTATCTATCATTTATGGCTATATTTTTGCATATGCCCATGTTTTATATTTTAAAAATGCATGGCAGTGGATATAAAGAAACTTTTTATACACATCTACTTAAATAAAAGTGTTATAATATTGGTAGTACATGGCAGAAATTATAGCAAAAATTCTCCCTTTGATAGGTGAATTACTGAAGCTTTAGCAATAATGTTGCAAACTCTGTGAAAGAGTTGCTGTGGGTATACACCACCGCTTCCTCCAGCTGGGTCTGAACTTTAGGGGGCATTTCTGATTCCTAGTCCTGTCCCCCCTTGTCTTGGCTGTCTAGGGGAAGAGGAGAACCAGTCATTGGTGTGGCCTAAGTCGAAGGAGGAACTGTGGTGAGTCTTCTCCCTGACCCCCTTTTCCCACCCATCCTGACATATTTCTTCTGTTTTGCATTCCCAGTGCCAGGGACTGTTTGTGTGTCAAATATGACATAAAATGGATATCTTTCCTATGAGCAAAGGAAGAGGTGGGGGCGCTTACCCATCTCTAAGCCTTGGTTGCTTTCTCAGACACATTCTAAATAGCAAAGCAGTCTCCTCCAGGGGACCTTTAGAGGATGGGCTTCAGGGCCATCCTGGACCGTGGCCCTCTGTGCAGCTCTCCTTGGAGGTGGTCCTTGGGAAGGTGAGCAGGAAGGGACTATGACATCTAAAGTCCAGGCTCTGACTACTTCTGTCCCTGGGAATCAGTGACATGTGAAGCTATGGCTAGATTTTCCGTAGATCTCTTATTTGTATTCAAAAAGCATTCAGAAGTTTTTATTTAGCTAAAAGTTGCCTTTATGTTAAGCGAGAGGCAGTTGGCATAGAACTTGTCTGTTGATTAAGGAAATACGTAAATCCTTGACAACCTCAGGTCTGATAAAAGGGAATATGAGACGCTGGAGTCTCCTCTAGGGGGCGCTAACCTCCAGAATCAGCTGTGGGGAGCCACGTGCGGGAAAGCCACCCTGAGTTGAAGAGGACTCACTGAGTGGTGCGCCCCCTGTCCCTGGCCCTCTCTCCAAGGCAAAATGAACAGGCAGGGTACTCACAGTCCTGCGCACTGGGAGGGTTTCCTTTCACTACTGCCTTTCAGAGCTGTCTCAAAGTGGGGTGGTAGTGCTGCCGCCCACTCCCAGATGGTGTCTAGATATCAGGCCGAACTACCTGTCCAACCAGCCTGTTTCTTCCCCATCAGTCAAATGATCATAGAGGACTCCCCATGAGGCCATGCACATGGGTTGAGAGAGAGGATGCAGTGTAGCAAGGGAAGGGGGCCGGGGTTTCTGAGGGCCAGTGTAGCCGGGACGAGGGGCACCTGCTGGAGCTCAGTCCATATATAACACTTCTGCTTGACGATGGAGCACTGCTTCATATTCTCAAGTTTATGGCTTGAGGGGTTAGAAAGCACCCAACACGTGACATGGAGCTTAAAGCACATGGTGATGGGTGGCCCATGGGCAGTTTTGTCTCTACTAAGGCCCAACAGAAATCTAAAAGCTGTTTCTCTAAAGGAGAGTAGTTACCAGCAGAGAGCCACAGATCTTCCGCCAAATCCTTTGAGTCTTCACTGTGATTTACCCTAGAGAGGTCTGCCAAACACTCCACGCAGAATCTCTATTTGCCATTGACCCTTCAAGCAGCGTCAGTTCTTATGGGTTCTATGTCCCAAGTGAGAAGCCTGTACATCAGCCTGGACCTGTTGCAGAACTCTCTCTTGTGGGTCTCACTCAACACTGGAAGATTTGTGGCTCACTAGGTAGATGAGTTGGAATAATATGCCTGAATGAGGAATATATTGCCTGCCAAACCCAGAGAGGTTAACCAGGGGTCGTGCCTCTTTCTTAGTGGTAGAAGGGGCCAGATACAGCAACACGCTCTTCAATATGGAAGGAATATGTTGATATGCCTCAGATCATTAAATCCTTCAATTTTTCACAAAGATAGAAAGCTTCTGTTTTTTTTGTAGCATAATTGTATGATTTTTTTTTGTATGCTGTTGTGTGCTATTTGTGGATTTTTTGGTGATATCTTACCAATGCAGCTAGAAGTCATTTCTTCCTTTTCATCAGATCCAGTCAACATAACATCATCAATGCAATTGACCAGAATAATGTTCTGCAGCATGAAAAATGTGATCAACATCCTATACACTAGGGCTGGAGAGTTGATATATCCCTGCAATAGGACGGTGAAGGAAAATTGCTGGCCTTCTCAGCTGAAAGCAAATTACTTTTGATGATGTCTACTAACAGTAGAGAAACAAAGAGTATTCGCCAGACCAATAGCAGCATGTCAGGTGCTAAGGGATGTGTTGAAACTATGTTTGGAATATGCAATTGAAACTATGTTTGGCATAACAGCAATTGTGTCACCATCTGATTAAATTTCTGATAATTGGAGTCACCATCTGATTAAATTTCTGATTATTCACTGCCATTCTGTTTACTGCACAGGTCAAATCAGTGAGTCAAATGGGGATTGGTAAGAATCATGACCTCTGATCTTTCAGGGGTCCTATGGTGGCACTAATCTCTACAGTCCCTCCAGGAATGAGACATTGCTTTTGGTTTGCTTAAATTCTTATGGGTAGAATCTGTTTATTGGCTTTTACTTGGATTTTTCTATTATAATAACCTGAGCATACAAATCAAAATGACTGCTACTTCACTTTCACCCTCCAAATCTCATGTAAAACATCTCTTGAGGCCCACCTGAACCAGAAAGGAATTCTGGGAAGCATGGCTCAGCCTAGCCAAGTTGATATTTCAAACCGTTTCAAACTATGGTCATCTTTACACTTTACACTTCAGCATGCTTTTGCAAATGATGACATTCTACTGTGTAATTGTATGCCATTGTGGTACTGCGTTATTTTATTTCACAGATAAGGAAACTGAAGCGAAGAGATAAGAGAACTTGTCCAGGTTACACAGTAAGTGGGGGAGCTAGAGTTTATATCCAGCTCTGTCTAGCTTCAAAATCTGTGCTTTCTTTTCCTTCTTTCTTTCTCTCTTTCTTCCTTTCTTTCTTCCCTCCCTCCCTCCCTCCCTTCCTTCCTTCCTTCCTTCCTTCTTCAGAATCTCACTCTGTCACCCAGGCTGGAGTGCAATGGCGCCATCTCAGCTCACTACAACCTCCGCCTCCTAGGTTCAAGTGATTCTCCTGCCTCAGCCTCCCGAATAGCTGGGATTATACGTGCGCACCACAACACCCAGCTAATTTTTGTATTTTTTAGTAGAAATGGGGTTTCACCATATTGGCCAGGCTGGTCTTGAACTCCTGACCTTGTGATCCACCCACCTTGACCTCCCAAAGTGCTGGGATTACAGACATTAGCCACTGCACCAGGCCAACCTGTGCTCTTTCTACTGCACTCATGCCTTAGGGTGTGCACATCTAATGGTATTTACAGGGACTTCATAGTACAATGGTATGCTACATGGACACAATGTTCAATCATATAATGAAAAAACGTAAGTTATTTTTATTATTGTGTCAATGAAAAAGTCTCAAGTTAGAACCAGTATGTTTCTAATACCTGTCACCTCACTAACCTTTTCTTTGTTCTTTTTTTTTCTGAGACAGAGTCTCACTCTGTTACCCAGGCTGGAGTGCAGTGGCGTGATCTTGGCTCACCGCAACCTCTACCCCCCAGGTTCAAGTGATTCTCATGCCTCAGCCTCCCAAGTCGCTGGGATTACAGGTACACACCACCGCACCTGGCTATTTTATTTTATTTTATTTTATTTTTTTTTTTAGTAGATGGAGTTTTGCCATGTTGGCCAGGCTGGTCTCAAACGCCTTACTTCAGGTGATCTGCCCACTTGGGTCTCCCGGAGTGCTGGGATTACAGGCGTGAGCCACCGCACCCAGCCAACTAACACTTTCGTATCTCACTTTAAAAAAAGAAGGATCAGACCCTAGTCTTGGCAGTAACATACATACGCGCGCGTGCGCACACACACACACACACACACACACACACACACACACAAAACACTTAGTTAATTTTGTGGTAGGAGGTTTGCAATTCCTTTTGAAGTAAATTTATTTGAAGAGAAAAGGAAAAAAGAAAAGTAACTTTCTAAAAGAAGAGCAACCAGTTCATGTACTGGCAAAAGTTGTATCCAAAGTTGTGAATTCTATATGTGAATTACGTTCAGAATGTTTTTCTCAACCATGCATCTTTTCCTGGGCAGGAGCACTTTCCTTGAGAAAGAAAACATGTTTTATCCATAGTTTCAGTAATGAGGCCACTAAAATATTAATTTTCTGAGCATTCTTAAACATAACTGAATCAGCTTCAATTTGCCTGGATAGATAGACATTTTAGTGGTTTATAGCAAAATGTAATAAACTGAATAACTGTAGGCTTTAATGTAATCTCACACAATCCTATTACATCCCAATTACTTATTTGACATTTTAAGGATAGTTCCTGCCTAAATACACACAGTCCTGCAATTCCGAATGTCTTCTTCCTGTGTTGTTCCAAGGCAATCAATAGATCAGACAGAATTAGTATCTTGCTGTGTCCTCCATTTGTAATATACACTGTCCCAGGAAGGCCTAATGCATCCCTCCCAGGCATAATAAATGTTTAGTGAGCACTGTTTGTGATAAGCTCTCCACTTTTCATTCCCACGAGTTTCAGGGCCATCATAACATCTTTTATTTCCCTTAGAGTAATGAACAAACCCAGGATCAATCCTACTGCTGCTTACAATGCGTCAGAAAGGTGGGAGGGTGGCTGAGTTCAGCATAGCTTTTACACTGTAAAGAAGCTCCTTTTGAAAGTTAAACTTCAGGGACTTGGGGAGAAGGGTGAGAGAGGGGGTGAGGGATAAAAGATAAAATAGGGTGCAGTGAATACTGCTCGGTGGTGGGTGCACCAAACTCTCACAAATCACCACTAAAGAACTTACTCATTTAACCCAACACCACCTGTACGCCCATAACCTATAGAAAAAAAATAAATAAATGAAAAGAAAGTTAAGTGTATAATGTATTTAGAGGTAGATGACAGGAGCAGTGAGTCTATATAGAATTATGCAGATTGAGATCTGTGGATAGAACAATCAACATGAGGTTCAGTTGTCCCCAGTCACTTCCACATAAGTGATGAGTTTGCTAAATGATTATGATATTATATGATTATGAGTCAGTGAATGTACTTATCCAAAATTAAATAAACTACCATTTATTGAACATCTATTATGTAACAGGTTCAGAGCTGTATTTGTGGTAAACAAAGCAACATAAAATGTATCTGTCCCTGGAGATTCTTGGTTTAGATAGGATGAAAAGTAGACTAAATAAATCATAGTATAATGCAATGGGGACAAAAATAAAGGTGAGTGCCAGTTGTGAAAGTGGCAACAAAGAGGCTGTGATGGGCTCTACTTGGAGGAGTCAGGGCAGAGGGGCATAAGTGGGGTCTTGAACACTGAGTGGGAGTTATAGAAGCTTGAAACAAAGGTGAAGGGAAATGGAAACTGATTCCAAGCAGTAGGATTCATTTTAAAATGTAATGAAGTCTTTCTAAAATTGGTACTATCCTGGAAAAATAACTGTGTTTGAGGTTTGTTAGGGCTGCACTCATTTGCAGCTTGCAGGAAGCCCAATTAACAGCGCTTTCAAAAGGTAGATAGTTATTTGTTTCAGGCAACAAGAATAGTGATTGTAGGCCAGCTGGGTCTGGGATGATGGTTTAGTGGTGCATTTGTAAAGTAGGCTCTTTCATATTTGCCCTCCACACACAGTAGAGTCCAGCCTTAGCCCTCGCATTTGTGTTTCTTGGTCAAAGATTGCTGCTGAGGCTTTGGGCTCATGTTCACATCACAATCAGGAAGATGGAAGAAGAAATGAAAGGGAGAAGGGATGTCACACCAGGTCTTTTCTTTTTTTTTTTTTTTTTTCCAAAAAAAAAAAAAAAAAAAAGCTTTCCTGAAAGTTTCTTCAAGAGATTTCAACTGATGTCTCTGGCTAGAAAGAACTTGGCCATCCCACTTAAGCACAAGGGAGTCTGGAAACCAAGAATGTTAGCTTTCCAGCCCATCACTGAGGAAGGAGAGAGAAAGAGAAAGAAAGAGAGAGAGAGAGAGAGAGAGAGAGAAAGAGAGGAAGAAGAAGAAGAAGAAGAAGAGGAAGAAGAAGAAGCAGAAGCAGAAGAAGAAGAAGAAGAAGGAGGAGGAGGAGGAGGAGGAGAGAGGAGAGGAGAGGAGAGGAGAGGAGAAGAGAGGAGAGGAGAGAAGAGGAGAGAGAGAAAGAGAGAGAAGTTGTGGGGGGACCTGTGGCTTGTTTGTGAGTAGCTCGTTCACAAAGTATAGCAAAAGGTCTTGTGAGACAGTTTTAAGCCAAAATCACATAATTTTAGCACTAAATGTTTAGGTCTTATATTAGTCAAGGTTCTCGAGAGGGACAGAACTAATGGGATATATGTATATATGAAAGGAAGTTTATTAAGGAAAATCAGCTCACATGATCTCAAGGCAAAGTCCCACCATAGGCCATGTGCAAGCTGAGGAAGAAAGAAGTTGGTAGTGGATCAGTCTGAGTCCAAAAGCCTCAAAAGTAGGGAAGCCGACAGTGCAGCCTTCAGTCTGGCCAAAGGACCTAGATCTCCCAGCAAACCACTGGTGTAACTCCAAGAGTCCAAAGGCCAAAGAACCTGGAGTTTGATGTCCAAGGGCAGGAGGAATGGGAGGAAGCATCCAGCATGGGAGAAAGATGAAAGCCAGAACTCAGCAAGCCAGCTCATCCCACCTTCTTCCACCTGCTTTGTTCTAGCCTGGCTGGCAAACAAGTGGATGGTGCCCACTCACACTGAGGGTGGGGCTTCCTCTCCAAGTCCACTGAATCAAATGTTAATCTCCTCTGGCAACGTCCTCACAGGTACACCCAGAAACAATACTTTACCAGCCATCTATGCATCCTTCAAGTCAATCAAGTTGACACCCAGTGTTAACCATGACAGGTCTAAACATCTAAAGGAGGTAAAAACATCTTCTGAGTTCTTCATTTTGTAGATGAAATAACTCACTTGCTTAGGATCACACAGGTAGCTAGTGATACGGCTGGAACTTGAATTCAGGTCATCTGGTTTCCAGTCCTGGTTTTTTTCTCATTGTATGACTCCGTTCTCACACTGCTAGAAAGAGCTACCTGAGACTGGGTAATCTCTGAAGAAAAGAGGTTTAATTGTCTCATAGTTCCACAGGCTTACCAGAAAGCATGATTGGGAAATCTTAGGGAACTTACAGTCATGGCGGAAGGTGAAGAAGAAGCAAACACCTTCTTCACATGGCAGCAGGAGAGAGAGAAAGAGTGAGGGGAGAAGTGCCACACACTTTAAACCATCAGATCTCATGAGAATGCACTCACTATCGGGAGAACAGCATGGGGGAACCGCCCCCGTGATCTAATCACCTCCCACCAGGTCCCCTCCCCCAACACTGGGGATTACAATTCAACATGAGATTTGAGTGGGGACACAGAGCCAAACCGTATCACTCCTGTACACTAAACTGCTGTGTTGAACTTAGATTATGGTTTACATTGATCTCAAATCAAATTGTTAGTTACAAAATATTAAAAGTTTCTATAATTATTATAATCTGCATAGAAAAACAATAGCTATAAGAAATAAAAAAACTCTGGAGGAACCAGAGAAGACACCTGAGCAAATATTGGTAAAATAGCTCAATGCACTGCAGGTATCTGGTTACTTACTTATCCCTGGAAAGGAGATAAAAAAATACCAGGCAAGAATAAAGCTTC